TCAAACTTAGGATCTTGTGCTTTCCAGGCAGGTGCTTATGTCACTAAGATATACCTCTAGCCCTTGTAAAACAATGTCATCAGACACATGAAAGCTGGCAAAAAACAGTGACTCAGAGATAAGAATGAAGATTAAAATGCTACATTTAATTCTTTGTATAGAATTAAAGGGCACTATTGGACATATTCAATATATTTTAAATTAAAAAAAAATTGTTTTGGTCCTAAGTAGCATAGATTCACAACTCTGGCTAACTTTATTCAGGTCCAGGTTAACTGTCCTGAAGTTTCCTGGCAGCCATTTTATAGCCTCCTGCAGAGTTGCTGTCCAACAGACCCATTCTTCAGGCCTTTGATCACCACGATTCTGGACTATATCTTCTGTCACTGGGTTTCAGTCTCTGTTCAATAGCTTCAACCAAAACTTCAAGTATTGTTACCACTCTCAAGATGCCCTGGCTTGGCAGGAACCACAAGGTCCAATAAAGACTGAATTCACACCTTCTGTGTAGCTGAACTGGGCTCCTGGCCTCAGTGTGAAAGACTGTCTTCTCCTGGATTCTTCCCAAGCCCCAGGGCAACTGTGCTAAGAAGCCGCTGACATGAACACAGTGAGATTCCATTTTTCTGCTCTCACAGTGTCAGCCTACGAAGTCTACACTGAGGTTCTTGCAGTTGCCACCTGCCTTCCTGGATGCTTCTCTGATGGCAAAAGCTGTAGCCAGAGGGGGACTTGGGAAGGTTGTAACTCACAATGCTACATCTGCCTCATCCTCCTGGCTGACAAAGTTTAGATTAAAACTGATAAGCACAAAAAGAATGTCATTGACACCACTGTGCGCAATTATGTAATGTAGCCAGAGTCAGATATCATCCAGCAGAGGGTGCTTTTCACCTGCTATTTGAAATAAAGTACCTAAATACAACCATTTACTCCTAAATCAATTTTCCATGATAAGATTTTACTTTTGGAAAGTGTACTGAAAAATCAACAAGAGTTTTACCAGATGATCAGATTAATGTTCCTAGTTTTGTACTTTTCAGTAACTAGTATTTTACCCATTTGGTTCATAACTTATAATTCATGTTCTTTATACACAATGAATCTTTTTATTTCTAGATATTGGATTTTCTTTTTTAAATTTTAAAGGGAATAAAACAGAGCAATGAAATGAATTGAAACAGCGATAAGACAGTAGGAATGCAATGTATACCTCCTAAGAGAAAGGATATTATCTTACATAATCAAAGTACAGACAAAGCTAAGAGATACATACAAATCATAGTAAATTGGGGGGGGGTACTGGGACTTGAACTCATGATCTTGCACTTGCCAGGCAGATGCTGTGCTGCTGATCTATATCCCCAGTCTAGACAAGTAAAATCTGCTTACTGGTAGAAATAATTCTTTTCAGATACTGAATCAGTTGTCTCATAAATACTCTGGATTCTGTTCTATTCCTCTAAAAGTTTTTGTTTCATTTCAATTGCAAACTCTGTATTTTGGGCTATGGCTGTTCTGAATCTTTTCCTCTAGTTCTTCAGGCTGGAAACACTGAGTTTTCTATCAGCATTTTAGATGCTTCACAGGGTACTACATGCTAACGTAGTAAAAGGATGTGTGCCAGTAGACTGAGGATTCTGCAGTGGAGCCAAGAAGCGATGCTCAAAATAAGGACTGATGTCTCCCTGAAAAGTACCACAGCCATTCTTAGCAACAATGAGGTCCTGAGCTCCTCTGTAGATGCAAACAGTCAAATTCACATCAGGAAGCCAGGATGACAAACTTCTCCTGGAGACTAAACAGCACAAATCTTCCCATGCGGAGCCAGGAAGTGATGCTAAAAGTAAGGACCAAAGCTCCCCCAAAGTAAACCTCAGCCATTCTCAGCAACAAGGTCCCAAGCTTCTCTGATGATAGCAGCTGAATTCATACAGGGGGAGCCAGCATGACAAGCTTCTCCAAGAGAACCAAGGGCTCCAAACAACCACAGTTAGAACAATGCTACTCTTCATCTCCAGGTCTCCTTTTTATGCTGTCAACAGTCCTCAGGTGGGCCATCCACACTCAGCACCACACTGACTGAGTTCAGGTAAGTGTTTAAATTGAACATCAGTTACCAATCCACTGCAGGTGTCTTACGTCTACACCCTGTCTACAGACAAAGCTAAGAGATACATACACACTTTTTAGAACTCACGAATCTAACGCCTCTAATTCCAATCCACCCCTATAGGGGTTCTTTCTTGACTTTCTCCATTCCAACATCTGTGCTTTCCTTCTTTCATACCGAGTACTCCAGTTCCACCAATATTAACAATTTACTTTTTTGTGTAATCCTATAATACTTCTAAAATAGTTTTACAATTAGTTTGTTGATACCACTACAAAAAGCAAAACCTGTTAGAGTTCAGAATTTGTTCATGGTTCTCTCCCAGCTTTTTTCAAGACTCAGGTTTACAGTGAAATATTACATCCATAAGTTACATGAATTCGTTTTTTAAAAAAACCATGCAATTCTGTTATCTATTGAAACACATTTTATCTGGTTCAGTTAGCTGCCCCATCCTTGTTGGTTTCATCCTATTTTTGAACCGAATATTAGTTTCCAAAGCCAAAAATGTATCAAAAGCACGTTCATGTCCTCCTATAATCCTTCTGTTCTCTCATACCCTTCACCCCACTGTGCAAAGGTAACCAATATCTTTGTTTCCTAGCTGATTCTTGTGTTTTGTTTTTGTAAAGACATGTAAATGTATGTTTTCTTATTTGTCCTTCCTTCTAATACAAACCAGTATCTGCTAGGTGACCATTACATTTTTTTTACTGCATGGTTTCTCTTACAAAGTCCAAGTCCCAAGTCTTCTCTCTGAGATATAAGGTAAACTCTTAAATAAAAATAAACACTTTCAACATACAGTGGCACAAGATAAACATTACCATTCCAAAAATTATAAACAGGAGAATACAAAGCATTGAAACCAAAGCAAGTCCAAAACTCAGCAAAGCAAACATTAAGTCCTAGAGTTCCATGCTCAGCATCTGAAGCAATCTGGCTGCAAGCTCCAAAAGGCTTTGGTGATTCCACTCCCATGGCACTTCCAGAGATTTCAGCTCCTGCAGTTCTCTCTGAAGCCCCTTCTGCTCAATCTTTATAGCTTTCCTTAGATGATCCACATTCCTGGCTTTTCCAAACTTCTAGGGACCCCACTGCATCTTTGGCTTCTCACTCACAGCCTTACATAATGCCCACTCAAGAGCAAGCTGCTTGGCCTATGCCTTCTGAAATTGGGATGGAAGCTACCTTAACCTCAGATCGTGCATTTTCCATTCACCTAAAACCAGCGCCACATGGATGCTGCTGCGGTCCACTGTTAGCTGGAGCAGTAGCCAGGCTTTCCTCTCTTTTGGCTGTAGGGTTGGAGTCCCTGGATTGCTCAGCTCTCTGAACCTGACTGTGAGGAACAGTTTCTTTATTCCATCACCGTTTTGGAATTTGATGCGGTCACTGCCATTTTGGAACCTCATATGGCCTCCATTGCCACTCTGGAATATGGCACTCTGTAGCTTTCTCTTCTGCAAAAGTCTCCCTTTTGTAGTTTTGAGGCTGTAAAAGGTGGAGACCGCTACTTCCTGGGATGTCCCGCAGGCCACCTTTTTTATTTTTCTGTTCCTTCTCAGCAATTAAGGTCTCAATTTCTTTACAATCCATAGATTTCTTGTCAAACTCATAATGTTTCGAATCATCCTGCTGGGCTCTTTGTTCTTGATTTGCAACATAAATCACATTAAAAGCCCCCAATAATAACTATGCCACTGCCTCAACATTTGACTGCCTTGAAATTTTTTCTGCCAGATTAATTAGTTCATCGGCCTTAACCTCCATCTCAGGCAAAGTCTCTGGACACAAGCAAAATGTAGAGAAACTTTCTGCCAAGCCATAACACACATCACGTGGAGTCCAACAACCAATGCAGTTCTTTCCAGCAGAAACCTCCCAAGCCTGGTCTTTACCACCAGACTTTCTATCAGCCTTTTGGTTTCCTGAGTTCTGACCAGTATCTCCCCTACAGAACAACCTAAGCTGTTTCAATGCCACTCTTTCAGGCAATATCTCCAAACCTTTCCAAACTCTTCCCACAAGCCATTTCTAAAGGCTGTTGAACCATATGGTCAGGTATAGTCACAGCAATGACCCCACTCCTGGTACCAAATTCTGTCTTGTCACTTTTCTCTCATTGTTCAGACAAAATACCTGATACCCAAAGTGAAGCAATGGAAGGTTTATTTCTTACAGTTCTTGAGGATTCCAATCCATATTCAGCTGGTTCCAAGCAGCAAAGTGGTATGGTGGGACAGCCATTCATGGCCACTGCAAACAGAAAAGCATGAACCGCACAAGAGAGAGAGAGAGAGAGAGAGAGAGAAAGAGAGAGAGAGAGAGAGCCTTTTCCCCGCCATTACACTGTATGCTGGCTCCACCCCTGGGTGGGCATAGCATTCATGCCACCAATCCAAGTGTTAGACAATGAACCAATCACAAATGCTAGATTTGATGGTGTCCATGATTGCACGAGGCTTGGGGGGATCTGAACATAAACCGTAACAATATCCAATACTGTATTATGAATTTGTTCTAACTTTGTGGTAACTGTATTTTGACATAACTGGTTCTCTCTGTAATCCTATGTATTGTGCTTTATGCATTTAAAAACAGTATCAAAATAAAAGATCCACAGGCTTCAGACTGCCTACAGTGCACAAAACAGGTTAAGAACTCTCAACCAAATGTTACAGCTTTACAGTACAGTAATAAATCAATAAACACTTCCTTGTGTCATATCACAGCTCATTAGCTCCACCAACTGAATAAAACGTTCCACAGCATCTGAGGACAAGAATTTTAGCATTCAAATAAGGATACTGATGGTATGAATTATTCAACTGCTTATATATTTCCAAATTTATTGCACTGCCCAGAAGGCCTTGGAACCACTCACCGTCAGTAGAATGCATGTGGGAGCTGCCAATCTGGTCCACTAGCAACATGAAAACAAAGCCCAGTACAAGGGACACACTGATGCAGGCATGCAGCTGTGTGTGGTCATGGCTGTGCTCATGTTCATGGACAACTGATATTTCTGCTGCTTTGTCTGATGCAATCACATTCTGTGTTTCACTGGCTTGGTGGTGTTTTCCTATAGCAAAATAAATGATAATGAGACAATGTTTTTCCCTTAAATACATTTTCATGTAGAAGCTTCCATTCTTTTGTATTACAAGCTCTACTTACTTTAAAGACATCCACTTTCTATACTGTAATCCAGTCAATCATAAACTCCTTCAACTTAAAAGTTCACGATGGAAAAATTCCCAAGTATCTTCTGCTTTTGGCATGCAGAACTTCTGACTGCCTATCATTCTCAAAACCTGGGAAGTGGAAGCAAACCACCATGCAAAAAAGCAGTCATATTCCCAAAGGGACATCACTCTCGTATTTTCCTTTTTGTCTGTGAAATTCATGCCAATATTCTCCAACTGTACTAAGTTTTACTCTGATGAAAATAGGTGAATGAAGAACAGTAATAATAAATACATATTCATCTAGTTTTATTCCTAAGTTGATATAAAAATTGCAACTAAAGAACAAATTGAATAGGAAGAGTTAAAGGGAGGGTGAGGAGTGGGGAAAAACGTATCATGTACAGATATAAATTATCATGAATGTGACTGTTACATATATCTAAAATGTACCAATAAAATTTAATTTAAAAAGAATTAAACATACAATTTAAAAAACATCAGTGGACAGCCATTAATATGAAACTGTAAGAACAGGGTAGTTTAGGAGACAGATCCTTTACTCTAAATTCAGTTTTAGGTTGTTAGGAGACTGATTATAGTTAATGACATCCGACAAATAGATACTCCATATATATATTTGGGGGCAGTTAAGACAGTCTTGGTATGTATTCCAGGATAGTCTTGAACTTAGTGATCCTTTTGCCTCAGCTTCCTGAGTACTGAGATTACAGGCATACAATAATATACCTGAACAATTTGATACTTTTAAAATATATTTTGCTTATATCCATCATCCCTTACACCTCTTATCTTCCTATTTTTGTCATCTTTTTAAGATTCCATATATTAGGGAGAATATGCACATTTGTCTTTCGGTATATGGTTTATTTTGCTCAACATGATAGTCTTTAGATCCATTTTCTTGCAAATGACAGAATTTCATTCTTTGAGGATGGACAATACTCTTTTGTGTGTGTATATATCTAATATCTAGCTAGCTATATCACATTTTATTGATTCAATCATTTGTTGATATACATTTAGGCTGGTTCCATATTTTGGCTATTGTGAATTGTGCCACAATGAACACAGGGATGCAAGACTCATAGGAGGCTGATGTCTGTTCTTCTGGGTTTATACCAAAGAGTAGTAACACTGGATGGAATGGCAGCTGTATTTCTAGTGTTTGAGAAATCTTCACACTATGGCTGGGCTCATTTACATTTAACCAACAGTGTAGAAGGGTAGCCTCCCACCTTCATCAGCATTTATTGAGTTTTTTTTGCATTCTTGATGATAGCCATTCTGACCAGAGTGAGATGGAATCCTAATGTAGTTTTGATTTGTATATCCTGCTAGGGAATTTTTTAATCAGAAGAACTTTTCCAACATGTATGTTTTAAAATTAGAAGTCTAAATATTCCTTTTCAAAAAACTTTACTGAGTTTTTTAAAACTAAAAAAATACAGTGAACTGCCACAAGTATAAAAACCTCCAGTAAATACAACCAGAGTGAAGATACACAATGTTTTTTTTTGGTCTTTTTCATTTTTATCGGTACCAGGGATCGAACTCACAACCGCCTGCTTACAAGGCAGGTACTTATGCAGCTAAGCTAAATCTCCAGGCCCAAGATACATAATGTTTAAACTTCCAAAAATTTCCCCTGTATTCTTTCGAAGCAATATTAATCCTAGGCATAAGCAAGTATTGGTTTGTTTTTTGTCTCCAGAGTTTTTTCTGTTCTAGGATTTGATATAAATGAACTCATACAATACACATATAGTCTCTTGTATAAGGCTTCTTTTCCTCGGTACAATGTTATCAGGTTTATTTATGCTTTGTGTTTAATAGTAGTTTGTCTAGTTAGTGTTTGAGTGTATATCTCAATTTGTTTATCCATTCAGCTGCAGATGAACATCTGTGTTATTTCTAATTCTGATCTACAGTATTATAAATAAAATTGCTATGAACACTCAGATACAAGCCTTCCTGTGGTCACATTTTCATTTCCCTTGGGTAAAAACCGAAGATCAGAAATGATGAGTTGTATGCATGTCTAACTTTCTAAAAAGCATACATAGTGCTTTCCAAAGTGGTTGTACCATTTCACATACCCAACAATGCTGATAGTTCTAGTTGCTTCATACCATGGTCAACAGTTGATATTATCAGGGTTTTAAGTTTTAACCATTTTTACATACACGATCATCTCATGTGAAGACATCATTCTTTCCAATCTTTATGCTTTTTATTTCTTTTTCTGGCACTACTGCATGCTAAAATCTGGCTGGGATTCTACAAAGTGTTAAATAGAAGTGGTTCAAAAGAGACTACCTTGTTTTGTTAGCAACGTTACCTGTGGGTTTTTCAAATTTGTTGTTTCTCAAACTCAGGACGTTTCTTCTTTCCTAGTTTGCTGGGGTTTTTTGTTTTGTTTCGCTTTGTTTTGGTATCGGGGATCAAACTCAAAACTGTGCACTTGCAAGGCAGGCACTTATGCCACTGAGCTAAATCCATGGCCCCTTGTTTGTTTTTTTGATGACTGGGAGTTAAATATAAATGCTTTTCTGTACCTGTTAAGAATTATCAAATGAGTTCTCTACTCGATCTTATTTATTGAACTGAATTGGCCTTTTGATACTAATCCAACACCACTTTTAAATTGGGCAGTAAACACTATCTAACCCAAATTGCATTATACCTTTTATATTCTGCTGAACTCAATGCTAATATTTGATAAAGGATTGCTGCATCCACATTCATGAGGGATAATATTTTTATTGTAATATATTTAAGTTATACTGGCACTTTAAAATGAGAACACTTAAAATGAGATTGCACTTCTGTGGCAGGGTAGGGGATATTCACAAAAAAACAAATTTTCATTTCATTAATTTAAACAAGGTCTATGAACAGCAACCAGTAACACTTTAATATGAAGTGACTTTTAAAATTTATGGCAATGTTTTTAAGACTGACTCAGTAGGGCTAGGAGTTTAGCTCAGCAGCATAAGCACCTGCCTTGCAAGCGTGCGGTTGTGAGTTCGATCCCCGGTAGCAACAACATAGCAACAACAACAACAAAAAAGTAAGACTGACTCAGTAAAAAATAAATTTTACAACATTATCTAGTAATCATATATGAAAAACTAAATCAAAAGTTTCAAAATATATAAATTTACAATAGTTATAATGCACTATTACATTTTATCTCTTTCCCGTTGTTCCTTTTAGTCTCTTTTTACTTGCTGGTCCCAAATTCAACCTACTAAACTAATTTGAAGATTACTGAATTGCTACCTTCATTTTGAAAGTATTACTATGAGAGATTGCCAGAGGGAGAAATGGATGATTTCAGAATGAGAAGCAGAAATTAGAAGCCTAGGCTGCAGTGGCCATTTAAAGCAAGCTAGATACCATAAAGCCCTAAAGAGAAAAATGTAGGCAGGACACAGTGCCTACCTTGTCCTTCACCCAAGCAAGATTATTATCAGCACTGTGTATTTTAAACCAAAGAACTGAGACCTCAGAGATTAAAAATAATTGAGAGAGGCATTCTAAAAGATTTGAATCAGTGATGTTGGGCAATAAAATGTAGCCTCATGGTAACACCACTGTGTTTATCTTATGAAAATTATGTAACTATATACTGTCAATAAGTATATTCTCCTATGTGTATGACAAGTACTTTTTCTCCCCCACCCAATCTCCCTTCTTCTTTCCTTCTTATTTTTGAAATGGGCATCTTGATATGTTCCCTGGGCTGGTCTTGAACTCCTGGCATCATGCAATCCTCCTGCCTTAGCTTCTCAAGTAACTGGGATCACAGGTGTTTACTATCATACCCTGCAATGTACACTTTTTTTTGTATATAATTATTTCAGAAAAAATTACAAGCTCAAAATGGTAGACTCAGATATATAATACTGAGCTAGCATTCCGGTCATTTTTCAGGTAGATTCCTTTTGTATGCAAGGAATAGTCTAGCATAATTTCACATTCCGGAAAGTGAGGCAAATGAAGTAAAATCCTGGATTCTCAGTTGGGCAGTGGCACGCACTTGTGATCCCAGCACTCTAGGAGGATCACAATTTTGAGCCCAGTCTGGGCAACTCAGCATAAGCCTATCTCAGAAATAAAATAAAAAATAAAAAGGACTGAGGATGTATCTCAGTGCAAAGATTCTGGGTTCAATCTCTAGTACCATGAGGGAAAACTGTGTTCTCTGTAGAGACAACTCTATTTGGGGGATGGTTCCATTTTAATATGGAAAACCATAATTTAATTCTTATTTATGGATTCTAAGAAGTCACCTGTGTGAAGTTTTAACTAGGCAAAGGCCTCCTTGAGCTTTCTGGCTAATTCTGACTGGAAGGCGTAACAGCTTCACTGCAGAAAGCAATTAACAAGACTGGAGGAGAGGCGGACAAGCCAGTTGAGTAGAGTATAGGGGAAGCCAGTTGCTCAAAATCAAGGCAACTGCCCTTCATCCATCTCCAACAAAATGCAAAGGAGCCAGGGGCAGTCGCTTAAAAGAAAGCTTATTTCAGAAAGCTCTTAAAACACGCACACATCTATAAACCTACTATATGTATGAAAAGGGATAAACATATACGTCCCATTTTGGGACCACTACTTTAGTGTACTAACCTCTTTACTTGCTAACACAACCTTGTATGCAGTCCTTTTTTTTAACAGACCCATAAACTGTAAGGATAAAATTCTGAAGGTCAAAGAAAATCAAATGAAACTCACTTGAGAATATGTATGTAGACATAGACAATGGCATAAGGGGTTTAGATCTTGGGGCCTGGGATCCATCTATACAGTCCAGGGAACCAATCAGATTGACAAATTCAAGGCAAGGGGAGCTTGACCCCTCATAAAAGCA